TTCAGTTAAAAAAAAAATGTGATAGGAATGAATATTCTTGTTCCAAATCCTTTCTGGCTTCTTTTTACCTGCTGGCACTTCTTTCAGGGATTATTTTGGCTTTTTGGAAGAAAGTTTCTTAATGTTTCTTACTAATCTACTGGTGACAAACTGTCTTGGCTCTGTCTTTATTTTAGCCCCTTTAAGCATATTTTATTTCATGTATGGAATTTTATATTGTTTTTTATCTTCAGTACTTTTCGGGTACCAAAAAGGCTTCCCAGGAGGCTCAGTGGTGAAGAATCTGCCTGCTAAGGCAGGAGTCGGGGGTTTGATTCCTGGGTCAGTAAGATCCCCTGTAGAAGGAAATCGCAACCCACTCCAATATTCTTGCCCAGAGAAATCCATGGAGACAGGAGTGTTTGGGATCTCAAAGAGCTGGAGACAGCTTGGCTACTGAGCATGCACACACTTTTCATTACTGTTTTATTTGTCTTCTGGTGTCTGTTACATGGTATATAATATCTATTATTCCTGTTGTTTTCCTTAATAATATAATGTGTCCCCCTACCCCCGGCATTGATTTCCTTTAATATTTGTGAAATTTCTATTGCTATTTCTTCCCACAAATTTAATGGGTTAAGGCAGTGGAAATATTTCAAAATGTTGAGGGTCTTATAAGGTAAGGATTGGTTCAGCCCTTAGAGTTTTATTGCTTAAATCAACATCTTGAGGAGCACTATTAGCTTTTCAAGCTTGGAGCCTTCTTCCAGGACGTTTTAGGTTCTAAAGTCTAGAATTTAGTTCTTCATGGTTATAGGACTTAGAAGCCCGATTTCATTCAGGTGATTTGGCTGGGAGCCACTCAGTTTTTAGTCTGCCCACACTGCTTACCATTTGGGCTTCAGGCTTCCTGGTGTCTCAGCTGGTTAAGATTCTGCCTGCAATGCAGGGGACCTGGGTTTGATCTCTGGGTCAGGAAAATCCCTTGGAAAAGGGATACCCACTCCAGTATTCTTGCCTGGAGAAGTCCACGGACAGAGGAGCCTGGCAGGCTACAGTCCACAGGATCACAGAGTTGGACACAACTGAGTAACTAACACACACCACACTCATGTCGGGAATTGAAAGTTTGAGGTGAACTGATTCGGAGCCTTCATTACATCTGCAAAAATTTCTTCATAGCAATACTTGGAAAGCTGTTTGATTGCATAACTGAGGTAAGGTGTTTGTTCACCAGTAACCAAAAATGTCAGGTAGCCGTCTTAGAGTCCCAGTTATAAGAATTTTGTCTTCCTCTTTGATTTTCAGCAATTAAAACTATAGTGTCCCTATATGTCATTTCTTTTATATTTATATTGTTCAGTTCACTGAGCTTTTTGACTTGTGGGCTCATGACTTTCATGAATTTTAGAAATTTTTCATCCAACACATTTTCCAGTTTGCTTCTTCCCTATTTTTATTTCCAGTCCTTATCTCACTTATATTAGATCATTTGATATTGTACAAATGCCTAATTTATACTGGCATATCTCTAAGTTCTTTTCTTAGTCTACTCAATTAATCCTTAATTTCAGACATTGTATTTTTTATAGTGGAATGACATTTTATATTCTTTAGGTTTACCTATGATGAATTCAACACCTTTCTACATTTCTCCATTTTATCTAATTTCTTTAACGTATTTAAAAGTTATTTTAACCTCTATTTGTTGTTTTTAATTCTAAAATCAGAGTTGTCTGTGGGTCTTCTTTACTGCATTGTGTGTGTATACTAGTCATTGCACTTAAAAGAATCTTTGAAATTGAAGTGATTTTTTTATTTTTAAAAAAAGAAAGGACACACCCTTACCCATATTTTGTAGCAAGTGTGAGGGTTGATTACTTCAAACCAATCAGAAGTTGATTTGAGCTGTGGCTATGTGGCATGTTTAATTCATTTCAGTTCATATCTGATTTCTACAGTTTGAAGTTCAGCTTTGTTCTGTGTGCTTGGCAGACACCTCCTTCCAGTCAAAATTTGGCATATGACCCCAAGAGACGCTGAGAAATATGCCTGTTTTCAGTCTGCTTACTACCCTCTCTCACCACCACACAAATGAGGGGGAAATCAACAACCAAGGAAAACTATTTCTTCATTGAAGCGCTTTCATATATCAATCAAACATATAAATTCATGTCTTTATCAAGAGTCCCTTTTATTAGTGTAAGAGCTTAGGTTCCAAGGGTTTCCCTGATAGCTCAATTAGTAAAGAATCTGTGTGCAATGCAGGAGACCCAACTCATGTCGGGAATTGAAAGTTTGAGGTGAACTGATTCGGAGCCTTCATTACATCTGCAAAAATTTCTTCATAGCAATACTTGGAAAGCTGTTTGATTGCATAACTGAGGTAAGGTGTTTGTTCACCAGTAACCAAAAATGTCAGGTAGCCGTCTTAGAGTCCCAGTTATAAGAATTTTGTCTTCCTCTTTGATTTTCAGCAATTAAAACTATAGTGTCCCTATATGTCATTTCTTTTATATTTATATTGTTCAGTTCACTGAGCTTTTTGACTTGTGGGCTCATGACTTTCATGAATTTTAGAAATTTTTCATCCAACACATTTTCCAGTTTGCTTCTTCCCTATTTTTATTTCCAGTCCTTATCTCACTTATATTAGATCATTTGATATTGTACACATGCCTAATTTATACTGGCATATCTCTAAGTTCTTTTCTTAGTCTACTCAATTAATCCTTAATTTCAGACATTGTATTTTTTATAGTGGAATGACATTTTATATTCTTTAGGTTTACCTATGATGAATTCAACACCTTTCTACATTTCTCCATTTTATCTAATTTCTTTAACGTATTTAAAAGTTATTTTAACCTCTATTTGTTGTTTTTAATTCTAAAATCAGAGTTGTCTGTGGGTCTTCTTTACTGCATTGTGTGTGTATACTAGTCTTTGCACTTAAAAGAATCTTTGAAATTGAAGTGATTTTTTTATTTTTAAAAAAAGAAAGGACACACCCTTACCCATATTTTGTAGCAAGTGTGAGGGTTGATTACTTCAAACCAATCAGAAGTTGATTTGAGCTGTGGCTATGTGGCATGTTTAATTCATTTCAGTTCATATCTGATTTCTACAGTTTGAAGTTCAGCTTTGTTCTGTGTGCTTGGCAGACACCTCCTTCCAGTCAAAATTTGGCATATGACCCCAAGAGACGCTGAGAAATATGTCTGTTTTCAGTCTGCTTACTACCCTCTCTCACCACCACACAAATGAGGGGGAAATCAACAACCAAGGAAAACTATTTCTTCATTGAAGCGCTTTCATATATCAATCAAACATATAAATTCATGTCTTTATCAAGAGTCCCTTTTATTAGTGTAAGAGCTTAGGTTCCAAGGGTTTCCCTGATAGCTCAATTAGTAAAGAATCTGTGTGCAATGCAGGAGACCCCGGTTCAATTCATGGGTTCGGGAAAATCCCCTGGAAAAGGGATAGGATACCCACTCCAGTATTCTTGGGCTTCTCTTAGAGCTCAACTGGTAAAGAATCTGCCTGCAAAGTGGGAGAGAGAAGGGATAGGCTACCCACTGCAGTATTCTTGGGCTTCTCTTGTAGCTCAACTGATAAAGAATCCGCCTGCAATGCAGGAGACCTGGGTTCTATCTCTGGGTTGGGAAGATCCCCTGGAGAAGGGAAAGGATACCCACTCCAGTATTCTGGCCTAGAAAATTCTATGGACCCAAAGGGTTGGACATGCCTGAGCGACTTTCACTTTTACTTTAGGTTCCAAAATGCAGACAGTAGAAGAAATTATAATATTTTCCATTTTCTGACGGCATATTCTATCATTTAGAAATTAAGAGAAAAAGAGCTAGCTATGGGGAGAAGGCAAGGCCAATGAGGTTTCAAGTAAGGTAGAGAAGATGGGGAAGGAAGACTGTACAAAATTAGACTGATACTTCAAAATGTTGACTTTTCCATTATGCTTTTCTGTATGTTGAATTGTTCATACATAGCTTCCTTCCAGCCTTCTTATTCTTTGCCACCCATGTGGTTCTTATTCCTCAACTTTTTTAGAATAATAATCTTAATTCCTTTCAGTCTGATGCTTAGATAGATAATAAAGCAGGGTTGTATTGAGAAATTATGGCATAGGGATAATGCAGCAATTATAGTAAAAGTGATGATTTCTGCTGCAAAGTGAATGGAGAAACAGGGGAGGCCCCAAATAAACTAGTCTGTGACAAAATTCCCAAAACATGGTCTTAGGAAAAATGGAAGTCAGGAAGTTTGCATAAGCTCCACCGAGGAATGGACATATGCAAGAATTTGCTCAGTTTTCTTACCATTTTGCCCAATACAGAGTTTAGCAAATATAAACACATAATAAATATTTGGTTAATGAATATCCCCTTTTTCCATGATTGCCCAACTAACTAGGTTGAAAATTTGCATTCTTAATGTAAGCATGCACTTTATAAATATTTCTGAGCTGGTTGAATTAATTCTGGAACTTGCTCAAGAATACCATGTTCTTATCTTCTTGTCTAAGGATCAGTAGACCAAAGTGGATTTTAGTTTTGCAATAATCTATGACAAAGGCATTAGCCTTGTGAGTAACTAAATATTTCCTGACAGTTTTTTTTAAACTCTTCACAGTAATCTTTACAAAATATTAATAGAAGAAACAGACATCATGGTTTATCATGTGTTCTGTTTAGACTCATAATAAAATTTGTTGTGCTGAGTCAATGATGGTGTCACAGGGTGAAAGAGCTTCTACCAGCATTTAAAAATCTTTGCTACTCTGTCTACAGATTTGATGAAAGATATTGTGAACTGTATTTCAGATAGAGTAACTGTTGAACTAGTTACTATCGTCACTGTTAATCTTGCAGCTGATTACATTCCAAGTAATATGATCACATTAGCAGGAGCCTGTCAAGTATCTTTGTCCACCTACCAAGCGTTTTAGTATATATAGGGCCACATTATTTTATTACTGCAGAGGGGTTGTGAAAAGAATATCATTATGGGGTACAAAACTCTGTGCTTTGGACTGACTTGTATCCTCTTTATTTATTATATTTATACACCAATACCAGAAAACATTGAAGAACCCTGGAAAGTAAGGACCATTGATGCTGCTATAAAAATAACTTCATTTATGGTAAGTTTTTCCTTTCCAGGTGATTGGGATGCCTTGTTACAAGAACATGTAAGCTTTCTTTCAATTAGCATTTTGAAAGAGACTTCAGTTTTCTTTTGGGATAAATGAGCCAAATATTATTAATCTGTTTAATTGAATAAATCATTATGAAGCCTGTTTGAATCTGTACAAAACCTGGGGAAGTAAAATTTCTGCTTATAAAATAAACAAGATGCCCACAAGAATTCCAAGACTGTACTTTGAAAACCACTCTCTTGTCTACCTTCAATCTTAAAATTGCTGGTTTTCAGATTTTTTTGTAACAGTGCCAGAATTTGAACTAAGTTCTACCCCACTGAAAATATCACACTCTCCTCTCAAATCATGCTGCTACCTGGAGGCCTTATAAATGATATGAACAATAGAAAGTCTGAGGGAAAATGCATCAGCAGATAAAAAATAATCAGAGCAGTGCATGGTACCTGGGAAGTGGCTGTCTATTGTGCTACCCAGAGGAGATGATGGATCTGTCAAACTAGATCCCAAGGTATCTCCTGCCCAAAGTCCAAAGTATGCCAAATCACCCCTTGGCCTTAATGCTTCCTTTCATTGCAAAGGCTTCACCTTTTCATTCGGTGGATATTAGAGAAAAACAAGTAAGTGCCATCCCTACAGAGAAACTGCCATGTTCTTTTCTGAACAGCTTATATATCTTAAACTTCAGAGTTACTACTACAGAGTTTATTACTCTGGCTCATCAGTGTTAGTATATCCTGAAAACATGCAACTTTAAAATTCCACTTTTAATTATCAAACGCAAAACAGAATTAAACTATTGTTCATCCAAAGTAGAACCAACACTTGTATTTGCTTATAGGTGCATTTTACGTGTATATGTGTGAATTATGCTAGCAATTCATCAGTTTCTGCTTATTTGTGTAATAATCATTTTGTTACTGTCATGACTGAGATTTTTAACATATGTCGTGGAAGCAAACATCACAGTTCTTGATAAAGTGATATGGAAAAATATAAGTTACACATTCATTTTATTGACAGCAGGAGTAGAAGAAAGAGAGAGCATTAATTTTAAAAGCAGCCAATCATTCCTTGAAAGAGTCTACTTTGTCCTTTTATGGCTCAGTTTTTTTCAGTTGCAAAGTGAGAAGTCTATAAGCACATTTCAGAGTTACTATGAGAATAAGGGAGCAGGTGTTCCAAGATAGCATGCAGTGATACCTAAAATGGTATTAACATGAATAACTATTTTTTATTCAATAGAGTTCTAGTCAGTATCTACTCCAAGATAGGATCTATGAGAAATGAGGGGCCAAAAGTAAAAAAAAGTTGATTTTAAAGTGATATATCTGCTAAATTGAAATTATCTTCACTGTGATTATCTTCATCCAGCTGTGAAAATATTTGAGAATATTTTCTATACACGTTGTTAATGAAAAAAGCTAAGAATTATTGAGCACTTGTGGTGTAGCCTGGCCTACTTTAATTTCCTTAAAAGTATGACTTAACACTTAAAACTGTGCTTTGAACAAGTCAATAATTTTTACCCTTACTTTATAATGAGGAAAGCAAGATGTAAGAAATAAGTAATCCAAAGACATAGAGTTAATAAATTTTAGAATTGGAGATCAAACCCAGACAATCTATATTCAGACTCTACCTATTTTTATCATTTTGCCAACTTTTAACTTTCCATGCAGTTAAATTTCAGTCTTTTGATTATATAGACCTATGTAGTTTAATGGAGAAGGAAATGGCAACCCACTCCAGTGTTCTTGCCTGGAGAATCCCAGGGACGGGGGAGCCTGGTGGGCTGCCGTCTGTGGGGTCGCACAGAGCCGGACACGACTGAAGCGACTCAGCAGCAGCAGCAGCATGTAGTTTAATATCAGCAGAGATTCGTGTAACCACTAAGATAATCAAGACGTGAAAACATAATCCCCCAAATCACGCTTGTGCCGCCCTTTCTGGGCTTCTCTGGTGGCTCTGTGGTGAAGAATCTGCAGAAAACTCTTCCCCAGCCTAAATTCAAGGTAACCACTGACCATTGTAAGTCTGTATACTTTGCCTTTTCCATAATATCATATAAGTGAGTTCATACTGCATGTGGATTTTGAAGCCAGCTTAATGCATTTCACTGAGCATAATGCATTTGAGAGTAATCCACTCATTGAGTATCATAAGTTCAATCCTTTCTAAAGCTGTGTAGTACTCCATTATGTGGGTATATCATGGTTTGTTCTCAATAAACAGTTGAAAGATATTTAGGTTGTTCCCACTTTGGAGGTAATGTGAACAAAATTTTAATTTCTGTTGAGTCAATATCTAGAACCAGATATGCTGGGTCATATTTTAAATGTATACTTAAATTTATAGGAAAGTGCCCCAATTTTTTTTTCCAAAGAAGCTATACAACTTTGCATTCAGTCCAGCAATATATGAAAGTTTTACTTGGTCTAAGTCCTTACTAGCATTTAAAATTTTAAGTTTTTCTTTAAAAACCATTCTAATACGTGTGTCAAAATATCTGATTGTGGTATATATGTTCACTTCCTTAGAGATTACAGGCATTGGGTAACTTTTCATGTATTTATTTGTTATTCCATGTTTTTTTGTGGTGACATATATGTTTAATCTTTTCTCCATTTGAAAAAAAATGGTTCTTCATTTTGCTATTGTTGATTATTGTGAATTCTTTGTATTTGGGATGAAGTCATTTAGCAGATATTTAATTTGCAAATATTTTCTCCCAATCTTGGACTTCTCATTTTGTTTTCTTGAGTTATACAGCAAAAGCCTTTATATTTTGTTGAAGTCCTTTTTATCTTTTTCTATAAAAATCTTTTGTTTTTTGATACTGTGTGTGTGTGTGTGTGTGTGTGTGTGTGAGACCAGTTGTGTCTAACCCTTTGCATCCCCGTGGACTGTAGCCTGCCAGACTCCTCTGTCCATGGAATTTTCCAGGCAAGAATACCAGATCAGTTGCCATTTCCTCCTCCAGAGAATCTTTCCAACCCAGAAACGGAACCCGCCTCTTCTGCATCTCCTGATTTGGCAGGTGGATTCTTTATCACTGAGCCACCTGGGAAGTCTTTAAGCCTCTTAAGAACTTTTTAACCTAGCATAAAATCACAAAGATTTTCTCCTATGATATCTTCTAAGAGGTTTGTAGTTTTACTTTTTTTGCATTTAGGTATTGGTTCCTTTATGAGTTAATTTCTATGTAAACTGTGAGGAATTGATGAAGGTACATTTTTTTGCATATGGATGTCCAATTGCTCCAAGACCATTTGTTGAAACTTCTTTCTTCATTGAATTGCCTTGTGTCTGTGTCAAAAATACACTGGACATATTTGTATGTTTATTTCTGAACCGACTGTGTTCTTCCCTTAATCTGTGAGTCCAGTCTTTCACCAATAATACACGTATTATCTATTTTATCTTCTCAGGAGACTTGGAATAAGGTTTTATGAGTCCACCAATCTTACTCTTCAATATCCAAATTGTTTTGACTATATAATATAATTAATCATCCTTTCCATGTACAAGTTTAAATTTAGCTTATTGGTGACTAAAAAGTCTGATGAAATTTTGCCTGAGATTATAAACTCTCTGAAATTTTAAATGAATAAGTAATTAAGTGAAATTAAAATATTTAGAATTTGCATAGAGAAGTGTAAAATCTTGTTACTCAGTTAATTTTTATGATAAAATTTTGCAACTTACATTTAAGAAGCAAGTAGACCAAAATAAGTTGCATGTAAACTGATAAAAGTTAAATGATGGTACTAAAATTCAAAATGTTTAGTGTTTTAATTTGTTTTTGTTTGTTTTGACAGGCTACATTATTGGAAAAAATAGGTCTTAAAAGATTTGATGAATTGTTTTCCACAATGATGGAACTGGACTACACACAACCAATTTCAGATGAAAACGTTACAGTGATGGATACAACCTTTAATGATATTCCAGTACGTTTGTACTTGCCTAAGAGGAAGTCAGCAAGCCAGAGACCAGCTGTAATTTTTGTTCATGGTGGTGCCTTTGTTTTGGGAAGTTGTAGTAAGTGCTTTTTATATAAGCAAATATGAGTGAGCATGTGTGTTTGTGTGTATTGCACATTACATGTATTTATATTAGAATACATTGTGGTATATATATAATTAGCAGAGTGTTGATATGTTTGTAAGTATGCATATGTATCATTCATGGTTCATATATAGGTCTTCATATACTTCTTGGCAAATCTGAAAAATATAAGATTATTATAAAAATTATTATCAAATAAAGTTACACTGACAGTGTAAAGTGGGAAATTCATTTGAACTTCAAATGGAAAAATAAAATACAACGAGGAATTAGATCCTCCCATCAAGTCTATTCCCATCTGATGTTTGCAAGTGATTCTAAGAAGTACAATGGAATAGCTAAGAAAATTATAGTCATACATATTCTCCCAGGCACAAACTCAAACACGCTCAGACATATCACATAGAGTTCACATAGACACATACACACACAGTTGCTTTTATACTCTTGATATTATTGACTCACCACATAGCATTGAATACAGAGGATATTGTATTAATGCAATTCAGAATGTAAGATGCAAATAATGACTCCTTTCCTCAAAGCCTATAGCCTAAGTCATTATACCCAGGATTTTGACTTTGTGATCTGTTTAACGTTTCAAAACAACCACAGATGCTACTTTCCTTGGGTGGGAGGTCCACCTTTATTTGATTGGTAATCACATTCTTAGGATGGCTAATACTGTCACAGTTTTACAGATAAGGTAGCTACAGAATGGTTCAGTAACTTGTTCCAAGCCCTATTTTTAGCAAGTGGTAGAACTTGTGGCCAAATCTAGGCCTATTAGCAGGATCCACAGGCTTAACCCTCACATCACTGGTGAGCAGCCCCATTCTACCATCCATCAAGGTGGCTTAAAGACGCTGTTTCTTGTGTGTATTTAGTTTCTATCCTTCATGTCAATGTCACTTCCAAACACTCGGTGCTCTTTCAAGTCTCTCAGCTCATCCTCTCTCAATTATCAAGGACGTCTGTCCAAATTCAGAATGTTCCACTCCCCCTCTCCATAAGTACCTTATGCATCCTTAAAAATTATTAGCACTGTTTTAATCTTTAATTTCACTTCTTTCTACTTATATCCTACAAGATGCACTTTAATCTTTTGGTAAAATGTAATCTCTATTTTTGTCTGGGCTCATATTTTCTCATATTGTTTGGCATTTAATCCATGTTTCTCTTTCCTCTGTCTAGAAATGTGTCCTTTCCATTGACACCTAAGCATGTTTCAACCTCTTCTACCTTGATCTTCCTTGCTCTGGAATCTCTCTCTTTGTAGTCCTCTATCACTCTCTTTATGTTTCTCAGGCTCACTTTTATACACTGTGGAATCCATTTTCCCCTTTTCAATAATTCTTTACACTGTGTAATTTGAGAATGACCACTCCTCTTTTTTCACGGAAACTCTCTAATCATAAGCACATTTCTATCACATTTCACACGTGTAGGTGGTTTTCCATTGCTCTTTATTTACAGAGTACACTTTCAAATTATTTTTTTCATTTCAGAATTAGCAGCTTTGGACCTCCTGAATAGACAGACGGCAAAGAATCTTGGTGCTGTCGTTGTGGGAGTGGAGTAAGAGCATGATCTTTTGCCTTTATGACATAGTTTTAATTTCCAAAGAAGGCACCCAAGCCTCCGAAAGGACAGGGATCTTAGGGATTTTTTGGTTTATGTTAGTAACTTTTATTAGTGTTACATTATCCACTCTTCCCCAAAGGGGCCTGAACGTGAAAGTGAAAGCATTCAATTGTGTCCAACTCTTTGCGACCCCATGGACTGTAGCCTACCAGGGTCCTCTGTCCATGGGATTTTCCAGGCAAGAATACTGGAGTGGGTTGCCATTTCCTTCTCCAGGAGATCTTCCTGACCCAGGGATTGAACCCAGTCTCCTGCATTGTAGGATTGTAGGCAGATGCTTTACCATCTGAGCCACCAGGGGATTATACAAAGGGGTCAGCTGCTGCTGCTGTTAAGTCGCTGCAGTCGTGTCCGACTCTGTGCGACCCCATAGACAGCAGCCTACCAGGCTCCGCCGTCCCTGGGATTCTCCAGGCAAGAACACTGGAGTGGGTTGCCATTTCCTTCTCCTACAAAGGGGCCTAGTTTCCCTTTAACCTCTGTCATTAGAGACCTCTGGGAGGCACCACAGGCTGAACATTTTTGGCAATACCACTATGATATTTTCTAGAAATGCCTAGGTGCTTAATTATCCATTACACATTTTGGATGCTGACGGGTTTTTTGTTTTTTTGAGTTGGTGATAAAAAATAAATTTTATGAATATTCTCTTTTAAAATTGAACTGCAGTTGATTTCAGAGAAGGGCATGGCAACCCACTCCAGTATTCTTGCCTGGAGGATCCCATGGACAGAGGAGTCTGGTGGGCTATAGCAGAGTGATTAGTTGTGCACAGTTTTTCAGATTGTTTTCCATTATAGGTTATTATAAGATGTCGGTTATATAGATATTCTTTTGGAGGAGCATCGGATGAAAATGTTGGGACCATCTGGGAGTTTATAGTCATTCTCAAAATGAGAGAGCCTAAGTGCTCATGATTTTTGCCCAAATTTCCAACAATATGCAGCAAAGACTAGGAAATGTCCCATCCTTTATGGCCTATTTAGACATTCTCTGTACTCCATCTTCAGGATGCATCCCCCCCCCCCCCCATTTTCCCCATCAATTAAGTAGTACAGAAATTTTCTTAGAGACTTCTAGCCCAATAGTGAATAGAGAATATAGTGGAATTTCTTGGTATGTAAGAACTTAAATAGATTGAATATAACGTACAAGTGAAACCAGTGCTGTCCTGCTCATCATTGCTGCCTTAGAGCAACCAGAACCTAGATGTTTTCAGAGACACTTCTATAATAATTAGAATATTCTCCCTTTCACTCAATAATTTTAACCTAATATACCATTTTATTATCTTCAGTTCAGTTCAGTCATTCAGTCATGTCCGACTCTTTGTGACCCCATGAATCGCAGCATGCCAGGCCTCCCTGTCTATCACCAACTTCCGGAGTTTACTCAAACTCATGTCCATCGAGTCAGTGATGCCATCCAGCCATCTCATCCTCTGTCATCCCCTTCTCCTCCTGCCCCCAATCCCTCCCAGCATCAGGGTCTCTCCCAAAGTTCCCAAAGTCAACTCTTTATTATCTTAGGTACTTTTAAATGGTAATATGTGTTGTACCTATATTAAGAATTCCATCAGTTATTTCTGATATTTATTTTTTTAATCCTGAAGAGCTTTTAAAGTAGCAGTATATTTTGATATGTTCTTTAGTTTATACTATATTTAAAATATATTTAAGATATTTTAGATGTAGATTGTTGTTCTGTCTCCCAGTCGCATCTGACCCAGTTGCGACCCCATGCACTGCAGCATTCCAGGCCTTCTTGTCCTTTACCATCTTCTGGTAAGATAGATTACAGTCGGGCAAAATTGCAAGGGTTGTCTGTCCAGAATGTAATGGTTAGTGTTGATATTATTAACTCGCCAATTCAAATTTATAGTAAGATTACCAGTATAAGTAGAAATAAAAAAAAAGTAAGACAACCCAATAGAGTTTGCCCCAATATTAGATGAATAAACTATAGAGAGATATACATATAGTTGTTCACATTAACAGATGCTCTACTAATTTGCCTTAAAGTGATTTTGACAGTTGTTACACAAGATCACTTACTGTACTTCAATATCAAATTTCAAAACTTTTCTTTTGAATTATGTTTGCAGGTCATATGTAAGCTCATACTCACGTATTCACCTTATGATATAAGTTTTGATAACAGAACATGCTATTTTATAGAATTTTTACTGAAATAAATTTCAAACATAAGACATATACAAATCATTCATTGTCAGATTTGCTGCTTTGAAAATGTAGTGTGCCCTCTTAACATGGTTGTGAAAATATTTGCTACCAACTGCATTTGAGAATCTAATAAATGCTACAGAGAGATCATCTCCCCTATTGATTGCACATTTGCTGAAAAATTTGTATACAGTGTTCTGAGGATGAAGACATAATCTTTATCTCTCTCAAGTCCCCATAGAATAGGACATTTGAAAAAAAGCTTTATCTAAAAATCTACATTTTATTTGAAAAACAAGTTAGTAGTAAGCCTAGGTATGATTGCTGAAAGTAAAGGAAATTAAAGATTCAAAACTCGGTCAATTTTCTTCTCTGGACCTACTGATTGTATTGAGAGATACCTCAATATATGCAACTGAAGTTTAATCATGTCTACTTTTCTTTCTTTCTTTTTTTTTCTTTGAAGTTACAGATTAGGTCATCAATATCAATTTCCTGTTGCCCATGAAGATGTCATTTCTGTGGTCAAATTCTTTCTACAAGATAAAATTCTTGCAAAATATGGAGTGGACCCCACTCGAGTCTGTATTTCAGGGGAGAGTGCTGGGGGTTTAATTGCGGCAACAGTGGCTCAACTGGTATGTCTTATGTCTTATGTGTTATACTTATTTATGACATGTACACGTGCTATAACTCCAACACAAAGTATCATTTTCTTTTTGTTTGAATGTTTTTAATGGACTTATATTTTAAACTGCTAAATGGAAAAACCAACAACAAAGAAACCTGTTCTTTTACATAACTTTACCTTTAGACAATGTGGCTCTAAAAGCATTGAAGGAAAAAAAATATCCTTATAAATAAGCCTCCTAATTTAATCACCAATTTTGAGGGAAATGAAACAATGTCTACGAACCATTTTAACGAGATAAACAGATTTGTTCTCTGTTTGTCCTTTAATGGACCGGAACCTGGAGGTCCGGAGTCAGCAATAAGAAAAGTAAGAGAGAGAAAGAGGCTGATATCCCCTGGTTTACGCGGAAAGTCAATAGAGTCGTATTCTTAGGGTTCGCGCTGCTACACGTAGGCACCAGGCGCCCTCTCGAGTGGGTGAAGGCACCGCGTGCCTTCTGGAGAGGGTGTTAGAAGCCCGGGCAAGAAAGTGAGCTCAGCGGGCCTCCGCACTCCAAGGAATTAGCCAGAAAGAGAGAGAGAGAGAAAGAAAGAATAGAAAGAAAGACACGGGGACCCAAGCTCTAATGGAGCAAAGGTGTTTTAATCAACATGGCGTGGGCATATATACTGTCTTACAAGGTGGTTATTCTCAGCAAAGATAAAGATTAAAATTCCAGACTTACAAAACATAAGATGATCCCTATCAAAGAGAGAGTTGCAAACAATCATCTTTTCGTAAGAAGGAAGAGGGTACTTATCACCCTAATGAGAAATGCCTGGATTCCTCAGCCCTGGGAAAGGCGAGCCTCTCCTCTTAATTCCTGAATATTCAGGAATCAGTGAGGGCCAGAGGGTTCCTGACAGATCCAAAACAGCACGCAGGAAGCCTTTCGCTAATTGCTTCCTGACAGTTCTCCTTGCTGCTGCTTTGTCGCTTCAGTTGTGTCCAACTCTTTGTGACCCTGTGGACCATCACCCTCCAGGCTCCTCTGTCCATCCGATTCTCTAGGCAAAAGTACTTGAGTGGGTTGCTATATCCTCCTCCAGGGGATCTTCCAGACCCAGGGATTGAACTCGGGTCTCCTGCATTGCAGGCAAATTCTTTATCACTGAGCTACCAGGGAAGCCCATTGTTCCCTTCAAGTAAACTGTAAAGTCTACCAAGCACTTGAGATTACTGTAGTTCATGTATTTCAGTGGAATGTGAGCAGGTAACATTTGGGCCACATGTCATGCTTGCATGGAAGAATCACTGCAGTAATAAAAAAGAAAAATGGCCATTTTTACAATGTTCAAAGCCTTGCTGCAGTTCGTTGTTCAGTTACCAAATCATCTCTGACCCTTCTTGACCCCATGGCCTGCAGCACACCAGGCCTTCTTGTCCCTCACTATGTACCAGAGTTTGCCGAAGTTCATGTCCATTGCATTGGTGATGCCATCCAACCATCTCATCCTCTGTCACCCTCTTCTTCTGCCTTCAGTCTTTGCCAGCATCAGGTTTTTTGCCAATGTGTTGGCTGCTTATATCATGTGGCCAAAGTATTGAAGCTTCAGTATTTAGGGTTGATTTCCTTTGGGATTGACTGATTTGCTCTTCTTGCTGTCCAAGGGACTCTCAAGAGGCTTCTCCAGCACCACAGTTGGAAAATATCAATGATTCGGTGCTTTGCCTTCTTTATGAAAAAATCCTTGCTATGTGCAATTAAATAATAGCAGTCCACAATAACTAATACATTTGAAAAAGGAATTCAGTAGAATATATACTTCTTACTTCCAAAGCCAATTTTTTGGAACAAAACTGACATAATAAGAGGGATGCTGCTGCTAAGTCATTTCAGTAGTGTCCGACTCTTTGTGACCACTTAGATGGCAGCCCACCAGGCTCCGCCATCCCAGGGATTCTCCAGGCAAGAACACTGGAGTGGGTTGCCATTTCCTTCTCCAACGCTGAAAGTGAAAAGTGAAAGTGAAGTTGTTCAGTCGTGTCCGACTCTTCACGACCCCATGGACAGCAGCCCACCAGGCTCCTCTGCCCATGGGATTTTCCAGGCAAGAGTACTGGAGTGGGGTGCCATTGCCCTCTCCAGTAAGAGGGATACCTATCTCTAAAACCAGCAGGATCTTCTAACTCCTCTTGTAGGATCACTTTTGCTACTAGCCTGGGAAGGTATTGGTTGAGTCTCTCCATCTCATTTTTGTTTATGTGTGTGCAGTTGTTCTTCTACTCTGCTTATGAGATGAGCCAGCTGGTTTAGGAAATAATCCGTCTGAGGGCATTGAGGTGTGATCAAGAGCATATGAGAGATTATGTTAGAGAAATTTGTCTTTCCTCATTTTCTGCTTTGGAATTGTGGCACCCACTATGCCTTGAGTGTGCAGTTTCAGTTGGTTGGCTAACATGTCCCCTTGTGAGGTTCCACTGGGATTATTTCCAATTAATTCTCTCATTTGGTATGTCAGCTACTTTGGTGAGGGGTTAACTTTAAGAAAGACCCTCCAGATATTGAAATTTTCGTGTGGAGTGGCAGCTGGTATATTTATTTCTATAGATGTCATTGTTAAGAAGGTTGATCTGTGTCTAGGTAGTTGCTCCTCAGAGGTTAATTGTAGGTTTTCTTCTAGAGAGCATAGGAGTAAAAGAAAGGGTAAGAGAAATATATGATAGCTCTTCTCACCCCATAGCTGAAATCTCAGGCTCTCTTATCTCTGTAAGAAAGAGAATCTCCAAATACATGCTGCATGAAGGCGAGTTGTATATTAGGAATATTTCCTTTAACTTGATAGAATTCCTTTTGAATTTAGATAATGTGAATTTGGATATTGATATCCTGTTGCTGTATTAATTTTTTCTTCTCACTTAGGTCACTTTAGGTCAAAAATGGTTTTCCATATAGATAACTTTTCATCTTTCCTAGGAATCACATAATTATTTTTTTGTTTGGTGGTTCCCTGGTGACTCAGTTGGTAAAGAGTCTGCCTGCAACTGGGACACCTCAGTTCAGTCCCTGGGTTGGGAATGTCTCCTGGAGAAGGAGATGACAACCCACTCCAGTATTCTTGCCTGGAGAATTCCATGGACAGAAGAGCCTGATGGGCTACAGTCCTTGGGGTCACAAAGAGTCAGACATGACTGAGTGACTGATGTTACCTTACATATATGAATAAATACATGTGTGTATATGTGTGAATCATTACCTTAGTGATGAAAGTGGGATCACACATTTTAATGCCCTGTAAAGTATAAATATGATGAAAATAATTACTAGGAACTATATCATTTTTATAATTATTTACATCATCACAGCTGGTATGATTGGAATGAAGGCTGCTACTCCTGTAGTTTTGAAGCCTTTGATTCATTCACATTTTATTGTATATATTTTTCAGATACAGAATGATCCAGAATTCAAAAATAAACTGAAAGCACAAGCTTTAATTTACCCCAGCTTACAGGTCATTGATATCACCATTCCTTCTCACAGAGAAAATGAACATGGTCTATTTCTGCCAAAGAAACTGGGAATAGAACTTGCATGCCTGTATTTGACTCAGGATAAAGCACTCCCCCAGGCAATGATGAAAAATCAACACATGCCTCATGGTTCAAGGCATCTGTTCAAGCTGGTTAACTGGAGCACCTTTCTTCCTGAGAAGTATAAGAAGAACCATATATATACAGAACCGATTCTTGGAAGACTTAATCCTTCATATTCAGCACTTTTGGATAGCAGATTATCACCCTTGGCCGTCAATGATTCCCAGTTGCAAAATTTGCCCTTAACTTACATCCTCACCTGTCAATATGATCTTATAAGAGATGATGGGCTTATGTATGTCTCACGACTTCAAAATGTTGGTGTTAAAGTTTCTCATGACCATATGGAGGATGGACTCCATGGAGCTTTATCACTCATGGCTTCACCATTTAATTTACAGCTAGGCATTAGAATAAAAGATAAGTATATTAATTGGCTAGAAGAAAATCTATAAATAATACATATAGCTTGCTAATCAGTTATAGTCTAAAGGATATATTTTGAGATTTGTGAGTTTAAGGGACAATATCATGATTTTAGCTTTGGATAAATTTAGGTTTAAATCAAAGCAAAATAACTATGTATCTTGGAAAAAATTAGTTTACCTAATCTTAAATCCTGCTACAGTGAAGACTTCTACTATATTTATCCTAATATATATCATTTATTCTCCCTGATGCATGGCAAATATTCACCAATCATAGTAAAGTATAAAAACAAAGTATGATTATAGGCAAATAAACACAATAGTTTCAAGACAGTGACAGGAATGATAGTGGTAAGTGAGGACAAGTTTTAAGAGAAACAAAAACTTGCAGTTTTCTTTAGATAGTTTTCTTTAGATAGGGTTGCTATCTTCAAGTAGCTTTGTCAATTAATCATTCATACATTAATTTTATGCACTCTGTAAATTGTTAGTTTTCTTTCATTCATTTAATACACAAGTCTGCTTTCAGGCATGTTATTGTTGTTCAGGTGCTAACTCATGTCCGACTTTTTGCCATCCCATGTACTGCAGCATGCCAGGTTTCCCTGTCCTTCACTATCGCCCACAGTTTACTTAAATTCATGTCCATTGAGTTGGTGATGTTATCTAACCTACTCATCCTCTCGCGCCTTCTCTTTTTGCCTTCAATCTTTTCCAGCATCTGGGACATTTCCTATAAGTCAGCTCATCACATCAGGTGGCCAAAGTATTGGAGTTTCAGCTTCAGTGAATCAGTCCTTTCAATGAACATTCAGGGTTGATTTCTTTTAGTTTATCTGGTTTGACCTCCTTGCCATCCAAGGGACTCCCAAGAGTCTTCTCCAGCATCACAGTTTGAAAGCATAACTCTTCAGCACTCAGCCTTCTTTGCGGTCCAACTCTCACATCTGTACATCACTACAGGAAAAGCCATAGCTTTGATTATATGAACCTTTGTTGGCAAAGGATATCTTTTTAATACACTGTCTAGGTTGGTCATAACTTTCTTCCTGAGGAGCAAACATCTTCTAATTTCATGGCTGCAGTTACCATCTGCAGTGATTTTGGAGACCAAGGAAAGAACTCTGTCACTGCCTCTACTTTTCCCCCCTTTTATTTGCCATGAAGTGATGGGACCAGGTGCCTTGATTTTAGTTTTTTGAATATTGCATTTTAAGCCAGCTTTTTCACTCTCCACTTTCATCTTCATCAAGAAGCTCTTTATTTCCTTTTCACTTTCTGCCATTCGAGTGGTATCATCTATATATCCAAAGTTGTTGATATTTCTCCCAGCAATCTTGATTCCAGCTTCTGATTCATCCAGCTTGACATTTTGAATAATGTACACTGCATATAAGTTTAATAAGCACAGTGACAATATACAGACTTGTCATACTCCTTTCCCAATTTGAATCAGTTAGTTGTTCCATGTAACATTCTAATTCTTGCTTCTTGACCTGCAAACGGATTTTCTTAGGAGACAGGTAAAGAGGTCTGATATTCCCATCTCTTCAAGAATTTTCCAGTTTTTCTGTGAGCCACACAGTCAAAGGCTTTGGCATAGTCAATGAAATAGAAGTAGATGTTTTTCTGAAATTCCCTTGCTTTTCATATGATCCCTACTTTCTTCAATTTAAGCCTGAATTTTGCAATAAGGAACTGATGATCTGAGCCACAATCAGCTCTAGGGCTTGTTTTTACTGACTGTAAAGAGCTTGTCCATTTTCTGCTATAAAAATTATGATTAATCTGACTTCAGTATTGACTATTTGGGATGTCTATGTGTAGAGCTATCTTTTGTTACTGGAAAAGGGTGTTTGCTATGACCAGTGTTTTCTCTTGAGAAAACTCTGTTAGCCTTTGTCCTGCTTCATTTTGTACTCCAAGGCCAAACTCGCCTGTTACTCCAGGTATCTCTTGCCTTCCTACTTTTACATCCCAAATCCCCATGAAGAAAGGGACATCTTTTTTTTGGTATTAGTTCTAGAAGATCTTTTAGGTCTTCATAGAGCCATTCAACTTCAGCTTCTTTGGCGTCAGTGACTGGGTATAGACTTGGATTACTGTGATGCTGAATGGTTTGTCTTGGAAACTAACAGATCATTCTGTCGTTTTAGAGATTGCACCCATGTACTGCATTTTGGGCTCTTGTTGACTATGAAGGTCACTCCATTTTCTCTATGGGATTCTTGCACACAATAGTAGATATAATGATATTCTGAATTAAATTTCCCCATACCTTTCCATTTTAGTTCACTGATTCCTAAGATGTTGATGTTCATTCTTGCCATCTCCTGCTTGACCACATTCAACTTACCATGATTCATGGGCCTGACAATCCAAGTTCCTATGTAATATGGTTCCTTACAGCATTGGGTTTCACTTTTATTATGAGACACATCCACAACTGCCTGTCATTTCTGCTTTGGCCCAACCACTTCTTCCTTTCAGTAGCTATTAGTAATTGCCCTCCACTCTTTCCCAGTGGCACATTGGATACCCTCCGACCTTGGGGGGGGGTTCATATTCTGGTGTCATACCTTTCTGCCTTCTTATGCTGTTCATGGGGTTCTCACAGCAAGAATACAGGAGGTGCTTGCTATTCCCTCCTCCAGTGGACCACGTTTTGTCAGAACTCTCCTCTATGACCCATCTATTTTGGATGGTCCTGCATGGCATGGCTCATAGAGTCAGTGCGTTATGCAAGCCCCTTTGCCATGACAAGGCTGTGATCCAAGAAAGGGGCTTTCAGGCGTATTGCTATATAAAAGGCCAACATCTGCATCTAAAGTTAAATATTTAATCCTTACTTCAGTCAGTTCAGTTCAGTCGCTCAGTCATGTCTGACTCCTTGTGACCCCATGCATCACAGCACTTCAGGCCTCCCTGTCCATCACCAACTCCTGGAGTTTACTCAAACTCATGTCCATCGAGTCGGGGATGCCATCCAGCCATCTCATCCTCTGTCGCCCCCTTCTCTTTCTGCCTTCAATCTTTCCCAGCCACAGGGTCTTTACCAATGAGTTGGCTCTTCATGTCAAGTGGCCAAAGTATTGGAGTTTCAGCTTCAACATCAGTCCTTCCAATGAATTTTCAGGGTTGATTTCCTATAGGACTGACTGGTTT